TTTTGCTCTGTTTCCGTATTTCCGATTTTATGCCTATAACTGTCAACATGAAGATGATGATAACGACATAAATACGATTGAATTTCGCATCTTCTAGTTTCTCTCTCTCTCTCTGTGTCTTTCTCTTATTGTATATTCCCTTAGCGACGATCTGTATTCGCTGAAATATAGATAGAGAAAGAAGAAGCCGAAAGAGAAAGAGAAACAACAGGTCGATTGCTACTCAAAAAGAAATCACTAAGAGAGCGACAGAGAGAAAGAATGACAAGTGAATCTATCTCTTTTCTCTTTTTTCACTTGAAAATAACTGAAGTAAATCTTGCGCATTGACAATATTCTTTCGCTCTTCTCGTTTTTTTTTTTTTTTTTTTTTTGATCTATTTTCTACATTCAAATCGACTGAGATAAAGTAAACTTTTAATTCAACTTGTCAGCTTACTTGCGTGCATTGTGTAACGCCTAGTTTTATATATATTTTTTTTCTTTTCCTTTTCCAATAATTAAGCTTATATCTTCTTTAATAGATTATAATGGACATCCATCCATAATATAATTTCGTTATAGATCTCGTTTTCTTTTTTTTTTTTTTTTTTTTTTTTTTTTTTTTTTTTTACATATCAATAAAATATTGAATATCTCTTCTGTAGGGTTCTTTTTTTGATAAGATAAAAAAAAATATATAATAACTACAATAAATATTTATAGTTATTTTCTGGAAACTAGTTTTTTTCATATAACAACATTTTCGTTTTATTGTTTTCTTCTGCTTGGTCGAGTAGAATTGATCGATGTATCGATGAGATAAATTCAAAGAGTACTTAGTTATTTCTTTAATGTTTCTTCTGCTTTAACTCTATATCGTAATAAAAGCGTTATAATGGAAAAAAGATGGATAATATATATAGTGAAATAATCGACAAATATTTCGAATAAAAATAAATTATTCAATATAAAATTGTAGATTTATTAAAAAAAAACAAACAAAAAACGGTATGCTGGTAAAAGAACAATGTATCATTCTTCATCATCTAATATAACATTTTTAAGTGGACATGTTTCATTAACATATTTTGATTCAACATTTTCAACACCATTATTATTATTTGATGACAATGGAACATTAAATAATAATACATTTTCATCATCATTTTTTATAACTGATCAAACAATATTAAAAAATACAAATTTAACATGTAATCAAATTAAATATGACTATGTTACACAAAAACCTTTATTTAATATTGTTCGTTATATATCACAAAATTTAAATCGTTTTTTTATTTTACCTGCTATTGTTTTAAATTTATGTGCTTTTTATATATTAAGACGTACACGTATGAATCGTTCATCATCAATAGCTTTTTATATGCAAACATTAGCATTATGTGATGTGGCTTTTTTTGCATTACGTGTTATTTTTGGTGAATTATCAAGTTCAACAACTGGTAAACACATTTTAACAACTGGCTTATGTAAATTTCTTTTTCTTATGGTCAATGCAGTAAACTATACAAGTGGTAAGTTATTTCATTCAATACATATTATTAAGCTTCCGAAAGTAAAAGAAAAAAAGACATAAAAGAATGCAGTAACAGCTGCACTAACAAATAGATCAATATTTCTTTCATCCCAATTTTGTTGATTTACACATAAATTATTGTCAAATAAAGACCTTGAATAGTCAAAATATATTCGATATATCTATATATGTATTTATTTATTTATTGTTATTCTTTTAGTATGGCTTATTGCTGCTATGAATGCCGATAAATTTCTTGCCGTTTGTTTACCATTACGTGTATCAGATCTTTTATCACGTAAAAAAGCTTATGCTGTAGTTGTAGCTGTTATTATTTGTTCAATGCTTGTTGCATCTGTACATGCTAGTCGAACTGTATTAAAAAATAATGCATATTGTTGGTTAGAAACATCACAAGACGAAAAACTTGTTTTTATACTTGACGCATTCTTTTGGTGCTTTATTCCATTTTTAGTTATATCAGTATTAAATGCTGCTATATTTGTTGCCTTATTACGAGCACGTCGTGAAGCATCATGTTTACATGAATCAATAAATTCTTCAACAACAGTATCTATGATAAAAACATCAACAAATGGTCGAACATCAACAACAACAAAAATAAATAAACATCTTAAACCACCCACAAGTTCATCAACATCAAATCAATTTCGTACATCAAATATATCAGCAACAAATCGTGCACGTATACAATCACAAAATCTTCAAATAACAATTATGCTTATAACAATATCAATATCATTTTTTGTTTTAACATTACCAAATGCTATTTATTATTTGCTCATATTTCTTCGTGTTTTACTTGAAAGTTGGAAAGCTGTTAAATGTGATGCGAATATATATCGAAATCTTGATGTATACGTACGAACATCAGCTGTTATGTATCTTATATCAAATATTACATCGGATTTAATGCATGTGGTTAATTTTTTTCTCTATTTTATTAGTGGTGCAAGATTTCGTACAGAATTTCGTCGTTTAATATTTTATCAATTATGTCGATGGTGTTGTAAAGAACAAGATGTTAATAATGGAAAAGAATTAACACGAAATGAACGTTCATTAGTACGATCAAGTGGTGTAGGAACGGTACGCACATTAGCATCATTACCAGGAGGTGGAATTAAACCACAACGTATGTCAAATATGAGTTATACAATGACAATAACAGATAAGCAAAAGCCCAAACATGCAATAACACATCTATCTTCAATTTCGAATGTTGCGCTTGATGCTAGTGTATCAAGTATGCTCGAAGGCAAAACTTGATGCAATCATTATGCTACTATACACATCATTAATATTGGAAAAAAAAGGACAGAAAAAGAAAGAAATTATCTTTTTACACAAGAATGAGAATTTCATATTTTCAGTTTTTTTTTCTTTCTTATTATTTTATGTTCTCTCTCTCTTTTTTTTTTTGTGGTCTTCCTTATTTAATGTATACATTGTCATATATATCATTGAACAAAGAACTACAATCAAGACTGATATAGTAGTCTTGTATTTGAAAAATTAAAGTAAACATATATATATATATGTATGCATGACTAAGAATGAAGAGATAAAAAAGTACAGAGGGATAGAAAGCTATCTAAAATATCTGCAATATAAATATTACTCAAGGGGAGGGAAAGAAAGTCGTTTTTTTTTTATCTTTTATCAATTTTAAATAAAACAACAAAATCATTTCTTCAAAAAACAAAAAAAACGTCTGTTTTTCAATGTTTTGTATCTTGGCTTTAGGTATTTTATTATAATTTAAAATTGTAGGTAGAACTCGATTGTTAAAACATGATGATGCTTTGTACATTTAGAGGATGAGATCTATCATAATAATTAGAAAAAAGTGATGTTTTCGATTTTTCTGAAGTTTTTAAGTACATTGATTTTTTTTTTAAATTTAAAGTCAATAGAAAATCAAAAAGAAATTGGTTTAATCATAAAACTCTTATGTCAGTTCTTTCCCTTTTAATATTACTGTATTTATCACGGGAGAATAAACTGATTTTTCCGATTTCTATCATTGGAAATCAGTTTTAATCTGTTCATCACGACTCAATAGGAATCATCGGAAATGCTTTGAAATAAAGGAAAATCAAGAGTAACCATTAGAAATATTGGAAATTTATGGAAAACCAAGACAATCAATAAAAATTATTAGAAATCAATAGAGGTCAAGATTTTATTGTCAATCTTATTATTACTGAAGATTTTCTATGATTTAGAATGATTTCTAACATAGAAAATCTGGTTTGTTTCTCTTTGGCATTTATTTAATTGTTTTCCTCAATTTAGTCTTTATCATTGACATCAAATGAAAATCATTATTCTGATTAAGATAAATTTAAATTTGTAGAAAAGATATTATTCATATATATATATATATTCAAAAACTGTTCTTTTTGTTTCAAATATCAAAATTTTATATTTTTTTAAATATAATATCATATACATAAATTTACAATACACTCATAAATCTAGAAAAAAAAACCCATGTGTCATTGTATTTTCCTCCAGGTGTCTCATATTTTTTCTTTTACGAGAAATTTTATTTATTTCTATATAGATTCTATCAATATTTCATAAACATTTAATGTATTCTATGAACAAATAAATTGTTGATAATAATTCAAGTATTATTTATACAGAAACGCAATGTCATTTATTATACGAAAAAAAAATCTTTCATTTATTCAACATAGGAAATAGATTAATTATGATCCTATTGAATTACCTTGACAGATCATATTTCACTTCAATAATAGATATATATATGTATATGAGTGGCTTCAAATATTTATTTTATGATTAATATAACATTTAGATTTTTTTTTTTTCTTTTCATATCATACATAGAACAGTTATAACATTAATCAAAAAGAAATAACTATTTTTTCTTTGAGATCAAGAATATTACTTTTGCCTGTGAAATAATAAAATTTTTTTTTTTTCTAAATAATAATTTAAATAATCATTAGAAATTAATAAATTATATTTAATAGACTTTTAAATAGGAACAAAGAAAATATTCATTCTTATAAAACAATTTACTTTTGTGTTAATAATTTATATTATATTTTATATATTCTTTTCAAGTCTAATTTTTTTTTTCTTTTGTCTACATAATCAAATATGATATTGACCTTGTAAATGACTGTAAGTGACGAAGACACCTGAATATTTCCATAACAACAATTTTTTTGATAGATTATGTAAAAAAGCCAGAGACAAAAATTTCCACTCAGACTATTTTTTCTTATCACTAAGTGAATGCCATACTTGAAATGGCCCCATATTTTTTTTTTTTTGCGTGTGTGGATTCTGACGATAAACTATTGACGCTGATCGATAAATCAATGCATATGTGTATGTATGTCTCTTACTGCCGTCATCACACATTTCTAAAGCAAACATTTGCGTCAGATTCTGTAACACACGCGCACTATACGTCTCGAACATGCCTCGGAAGGTTGGAAGTGTGCTTCTCAATGTTGAAGGTCGTCATTTTCAAGTCGATCGACACTTGCTTGCATCACAAAGCATTTATTTTCGTGTTCTTTTTCGTAGTAAAACAAGACGAGATAAATATGGAGCAATAATTGTACCCGGAAATGCAGAACGATTTGGTTTAATAATTGATTATTTAACTGGTGAATATAATATAACAAATGATCAACTTGAATCAATTATTCCTGATGGTTCATCACTTTATCTTATACCATCACTTGTTTATCTTTCTCAATTTAAAGCTGAATATGAAGCAAAATCAAAACAACGAATTGAAGAAGTTAAACGAACAATAAATAAAATGGATAAATTAAAGAGAGAAATTACAAATTTAGAAACACATATTGATAATATCCGAAATACACATAATTATTAATTGATATTATATACGTAAATTATAATTATATACAATAACATATGCACCTCCTTGTCTTTTAAAAATAACTTTCTTTTTTATGTATAATAAAAATAAACTACTTGACTAATAATTTAGAATTTATTATAGAACGAAAGAAAAGCAAAAGGAAGACATAAGTTAAAAATCATTTCATGATGATAAGTGACATCTATTTAAACAAGATTTTGTAAAATATTCATTATTTTTATTATAATATAAATAAAATTTATCTAGAAAAATTCTGCATACTATAACATAGAACAATTTCATTTTTCCATATTATGGCTGTTCACAAGGAAGCAATAATATAAAACATATAAAATGGTTGTCAAGTTGGTTGCCGTAGTAGTAGTAGCAGTGTGTCTTTCCTATAAAACAACCACTCACTTGTTTGAGTAAAAATTTGACACTTCATTCTTATACATATATATATATACATTTATTCATATATAAATCTATTTATCTATTCAAAAAGATCAATACAATGGTCAAAGGTGGTAAAGTTTCATCATCAGCTGCTACTGGTAAGACACCAGCACCTAATACGGCGAAGGGAGGCAAACCTCGACAACAAGAAGAAAAAGCAATTGATGAAACTGTGAGTCACATTTAATATAATCCCATTTGAAACTAAGAGAAACAGAATAAAAATAGTTAGTTATATTTCATTTGTTAAAAATGAATAAACGAACAAGTTTTGCTAGTGGTATCTCTATTAAAGTTGGTCCCGATGTACCATTGGAATCCATACATACTGTATCTATTATTTTTCTTGTTTCCTTTTTTTGTTAACTATTAACTTATTAACATTTATTATGTATGTAGTTCGAACCATTGAAACTTGATGTCAAAGGAGCTCAAACAGCTGTTGTTTGTTTACGTAGTACAGAAGATACAGTTTTAATCCGAGCATGTGATTCTTTATTTAAATTTGCTGATAAAAGTGATGGAAATAAATTAATGTTACATGAAATGGGTGCAACTGATATTTTATTTACATTAACTCATCATGAAAATCCAATTGTACAACGAAATGCAACAATGGTTTTTGGAGTAATGGCTGCTCATCGTAAAATATTTTCATTAATAAAAGAAAAGCAAGATTTTTTTCTTTTTAATCTTCTTTTATTTTTATAGCGGATATTCGACGACATCTTCGTAAAATTGATTGTATTCCACATATGATTTCTCTTTTATCACCTGAACGTAGGGCTTTGTTTTTCAATTATTTTTTTTTTTTATTTTGAATAATTTTAAATAGATGAACAATTAACAAATGAATTTTCTGTTTATTGGCTTCGTTATATGTGTAATGATTATTCAACAAAATCTCAAGTACTTCAATTAAATGTTCTTCAACCATTAATAAGATTAATTAATGAAACAGATCCTGATATTAAATTTAATTCTTTATCAACTGTTGATCATATACTTGATGATTTTAATGCACGAAGTCTTATACGTGAATTAAATGGTATTGAACCAATATTAAATAATCTTAAATCAGAATATCCACAAATAACTGAAACTGTTTGTAATTGTATACAAAAATTAGCTACAGATCCATTTAATCGTGCTGTTATAAGAGATATTGGTGGACTTGATCGAATGATTGATTTTATTGGATTAGATGAAACAAAAGATGTTCATGTTCATTGTTTAAATGCATTAGCAAATCTTTTAGAAGATACTGAATGTCTTGATGTTCGTTAAAATAAAAACTTTTTTTTGTTTATCTTATTTTCTTTATTTTGAATATTTTAGCTTATTCAATCAAATGGTGGACTTAAACGATTAATGCAATTTGTACAAGATAGTGTTGTACCAGCTGTACAAGCAGCTGCAGCAAAAGCTATTGGACGTGCAGCTAGAAAACGTAATAAAAAATAAAAAACATAATGAAAAATTAAATTTTGAGAAGACAATAGAAAAAAACAAACAAACAAATATATTATCTTTAGGATTAAATACTGGACCAGAACGTAGGTTGAGTTAAATGATTAAAGAGAAAATAAATTCTAAAAACAAAGTACACAGATTGAGAAGAAAAAGAACACACACCTTAATTTTCTTTTGTTTATTTCACAAGCACTTGACTGAATTTCCGATTTTTTTTTAAACATTGGATTGTAAAGAAATAAAAAATTTGTTTCTCCTTTCGTTTTTCTAGCACAAAATCGAAAAATTTTTGCAGAACAAGATGCTGAACGTGCTATGGTATTTCTTTTACTTGGTGATAATGATGAAGTACGTATAGCAGCGTGTCAAGCATTAGCAGTCATGGCAGAAAGTATGTTAAGTCGGGAAACAATTCGAAATAATGGTTTGTTTATTTTTTTTTTGTCTTGTGTTTTATTTTGACTTTATGCATATGTGTTATATATGAGTCTAGATGGTATTCTAACACTTGTACAAATGATGCAAAAAGATAATCCACGTTTACGAGAATTTTCTACATTGGCTATGTCGAATTTAACACAAAGTAATCCAAATAATATTAGGTATATTATTTGATAAGAAGAGTAATTGGACTTTTTCTTAGAAAAAATTCATCGAATGGATAAAATGAATTGATATATTTTTTGGTTGAAAGTTTCCTGGAATCCTCTAGATTCTGATTCTTCTCTAGAATTATTAAGAATCAAAATATCGTTTTATATTACCCAGACTGATACGTTTGAGATGCTTACGTGGCCAAGAAAATATCTTGGACGTATTCTTTTTTTTTTCAACCAAAAATATAAATATTACAATATAATTGTGCATCATCAATCACATTTTTTGTAGAAACTAATGATGAAATGCTAAGAAAAAATTTGAATAGTGAGAGATAAAACAAATTATTCTCTCACCTTTCTAAGAAGATGTGGATATGACGATGAAGGCAAAATCCGCGCGCATACCTTCTCAGAAATGTGGGAGAAGTATGATTCATGAGTACAATATCTCTTTCATAGAAGATATTGTAATACTACTAAAATGAAAAATCAAAACTTTTTGTCTTCAGAAAAAAAGTCAATACTAATGCTATTAGTACTGAAATCTTGTATAACCTAAGAATGAACACACTTTCAAAACTTATATAGACAACAAGAAATATACAAAACATTTGCAGTTTGATTCTGAAATTTTATTTAATTAAGACAGTTTAAAAGACTTTTGATACAAAACATTCTTCTAATAATATATCAAAAAAACTTTATAAGTTTTATAAATATGTCAATCCTTTTATTTTCAATTAAGTATTCAATATTTGGTTTTGTTTTTTTAGAGATTATAGCATTTCCTCATTTCTTTCTACAAAGAAAAAAAAAATTCTCATTGATGATACAAAATTATATTACATTATAAAATATTGTAATATTTTATCCGTGATGATTGATCATACGACGAAAAGTCCTAGCATAAAAACTAATATATTGATAACTATTTATTTGTATATATAGGGAATTACAAGATCAAGGAGGTCTTGAAGTATTAATTCGTTTATTGAATGATGAGAAAGATACAACAAAAGCATATGCATGTGTTACATTGGCTAATTGTTCAACTGATCAAGTTGTACGCACAAATATTTTGGAGAAAGGTCTTATAAAAAATCTTCTTGTACCATTACAGGCAAGGTATTAAACACTGGAATCAGCATGAAAAACATCGAAAACCAATGAAATTTGGAGACAATATTCTGAATTCCATTGATTTCTGGTGTTTTTGTTTGGACTTGGAAATTTCTATATGTCTAACACAAAAAAAAAACCTTTATTTTAGTTATGAATTAGCACAAGCAAAAGCAGCTATGGTTTTATCAGCTTATGGTATCGATCAAAAAGCTCGAGAAGATGTAAGAATTGATAAAGAATAAAAATATTTATTTTGTCTTTTTTTTGTTAATCTATCAGATAATAAATAATCAACCAATTATTCCACATCTTGTCAGTTTATTAAAATCAAATCATGATGAAGTTCGTCGTAATGCTTGTTTTGCTATTAGTGTTCTTTGTATAGAACAAGCTATAGCAATTGAAATTCTTCGACATGGGTATTTAAATATTTATTTCAGTTTTATTTATTTTTATTTTTATTATTCATTTTAAGAGCACTTGAAATAGTACGTGATTTAAATACATCTGAATCGCGTAAGAGTAAATTTACTGAAATGGCTTTACAAAAAATTCTTGATAGTCATTTATCAGCAAAATATTCATATCTTGGACGATTAGGTTAGATTAATTATCTTTTATTATACAATTAAACTTTTTGTTTTTGAAGAAAGTAATAATATAACAACAGATGGATTTTATGATATGGGACCTGTTCGAGATGGTGGAACATTTTTAACTATTGAAGAACTTGCTGCTGAAGAAGTAAATGATCGTCGACCAATTTTACTTCTATATGCACCCGAAAAAAAGTAAGAGAATGATTTTTTTTTGTTCAGTTAATTTTGTTTTCGTCAATATTAAAAAAACAAAAAACAAAGCACATTTTTCCACCATTCCAACATTTTTTGCTTTGCACGCAATCAATGTTATATCACTTATAGAACTAAAGTTATTATTGTTACACCTACACAAACTGATTCGTAAGTATATTTTTTTTTTTTGTCATGCAGAAAAATTATTCTATATTGCATGTCTCTATTTGAATCATCTTTTTTTTTTAATTATTTTACTCACACATGGTTTTTACACTATTATCAATGTGTGTGAGTTTGTGTGTTACTGTTTTTTATTTGTTCAGTGTTACACAATGGACTACTACTACTACAGGAGGATCTTATGATGATGATATTTCTCGAGTGCCATTTTCTTCTGATGATAATCTTTCTACATCAGTAACGGCGATGTAGGTTTTAGTTTTTCTTCTCATTTGTATTCTATATCTTGTTTGATAAAGAAAACTTTTTAAAAATAAAATAATTCATTTTAATATAGGAAAAGTTCAGAAAGCAAAGAAAAAATAGGTACTACTACTACTACTACTGGACGTACTGCAAAAACACCAAAATCATCAGGCAAAGATAAAGATGGAAGAAGGTAAGTTTGATCTTTTTTTTTTCCCTCAATTAGAAATCTAGTTGGATAAGCTATATCTAATCTGCAGTTCTGTAGATCAATCCAGGTATGACAATCATGTTAACATTAAAATTTAATATGCTTTATTAATATACATATGCATGGCTTTTTTTTTCTTCCTTCACTTACTCACTCAATGTTTTTTTTTTTTATTTATTTATACGATGAATTTAATGTTAATCTTTAATAATTAATGTATTGATTTTAGTCGTTCGAAAAAAGATAAAACAAGTGATAAACGAGATGTATCGGAAGATAAAAAACATACTGAAAAAGATTTATCAGGAGTAACTAGTTCAAATTCGGTAGGAAATTTTCTTTTGTTTTATTGAATTTTGTTTTTTCTTCTTTATAAAGAAATCAGGTTATAAACCAACAGCTGATCCAGATTTTCAAATGTATCTTGAAGAAATTCAACCACAAATTATAAGAGTACCATTATCAGAACAAATATCTACTTTAGCAAGGTAAAATTTCAATAAATTTTTCTTTTTTATTTATTTATTTATTTTTTTGCCTAAAGATTTGTAAGTGAAAAAATGGGTGGTACAATCTCACCTGATGATGTAGCTACATTTGGTTATGAAGTAGCTATGAATCAATTAAAAGCTGAACTTCATTCAAATGTCATACCAATTGGTCGAGTACGAAAAGGTATTCATGCTCAACGAGCATTTTTATTCAAAGTAAATATTTTGAAAAATGAAAAACAGAGAAAAATTAAAAAAAAAAAAAAATTTTTATGTTATAGACATTAGCTGATCGACTTGGAATACCGTGTACATTAACACGAGGCAATTATAATCGTGCTTGGAATGAAGTTATTCTTGGTGAATCATCCGGGGTATGTTATCTATTAAAATTATAATTATACTATCTTTTTTTGTAAGGCATCGGCAATTCGAAATTTGAGAAAAAAGTTTTTTTTGTGACGATTGGATAGAGCTCGTTGAGTTACCTATAAAAAAACAAAGTTGTTGTTGACATATTCAGACAATAACCTTGTAATAAAACTTAGGTTGTAAAATATCCGAAAGGCTAGAAAAATTAAAAGACGTCAAACGCATCAAGTTTCAGTAGCCTCAATATGTTTATTTTCATTTATACAATTAATTTATTTTCATGAAGAGAATATAATAACAAGTTCTGAGACAACATAGTGTAGATTTTTGTGTATTTTTTTGCAACCTAAGTTTCACTATAAAACCATCGTCTGAATATATCAAAAACAACCTTTTTTAATAGACAGCTCTATTCAACCATGATAAAAAAATTTTTTGGTCATATTTCGATTGCTGACACTTTATACTTTTGCAATAGTATGATGAGAATTTTAGTTTATCTTTATATTCAAATGTTTTTTTTGTTTTGTTTGCATTTAAAACAAATAAAAGTAAAAATTGAGATTGAAAGCTTTCGATTAAACATGATAAATAAAGATTTTGATCAAATGTCAAATGATGATCAATATTCAATTTATAAGACAATAAAATGTAATTCTTTCGATGATGAATCTATTGAACAAATCCGTGAATCATTAAGAAAATTAGAAAATACATTCTTCAAAAATAATGACAAACAGATTTTATTGTATAATTCAGTTTGTAATAGAGAAAAGTTCATATTATATGACAAATCTACACAATTAGTATGTCTATTACATGTTAAATAGAATTTTGCTAATTACTGTTTTTTGTTTGTTATTAAATACATTTAATATATTAACGATCATTTTGATATTCTAGAGCGTTCGATATCCTGCTAAAACATGGATTGTCGATATACTTCATGAACCAGGTCGACTAATTCTTGCCAATTCTTCTGATGCTCGAATTTACACAATACTCTCTTAAACAAAAAAAATGACACATAAACGTTGTAATACATCCGGTGGATATCATATTTTGAATCTACCATATTTATCTTTCTTTCTTGCTCATAAATAACTTGTTCAGTTTTTGATTTGTACGACTATCGGAAAAATACAGTGATTTTACATGCGCACAATAAGTGACGTCATATTATTTTAAAAACTATACATATATATGATTTTTATTTTAAGTTATATTATTATTTGTAAGCTGTTTATTTCTCTCTTTATTGTTATGATATTATTGTCTTAGAGCAAATGAAATTATATATGATTACCTTTACTACCGAGTCAGTAAATTTCAAAAATTCATTCATCAATTTATGATCATTGTCAAATATATATTGTATTGATTCAATTTTATTAAAAAAAAAGTACAATAATTGAACTAGTTTTTCATAGTTAAATCCCATCATTCGATTATTTTTAAATCAATTGCATTAGTAGAACAATTAGTTCAATTGAATTTACTATATAGTTGATTCTTTAAAAATTTTAATAAAAGTTCTCAAAATAAATCTTTCAATGATTTATTTCTACCAATTCAAAGTAAATCTAATTACAATTATTTCGCATAAATTTATATTAGTATCGTTAAAAACAAAAACGAATTGATTATAATGTAGTGAAATAATATATCATAAATATCAGATACATTTATACTTTTTTTGATATTGTATCAGACATTTATTTTTCTTATGGTTACATCAAATAATATTCTATACATGATGTGACAGATTGTATTAATCACCTATTAAGTTTTCGCTTCCTTTTCTTTATGTATCATTACATATGCAAAACCATTTGCCATTTATTGTGTCTATTTCGACAAAAAAAAAAGAAGTATCATACAAATTGCATTTACTATTGTAATATTTTATTTTTCTATTAATTTAATATCAGCTGTTCAATAGTTCAATTTTTAATTGAATCAGCAATCAAAACAAATAACAAAGCCATCGAATATTCATCATCCAAATTTTCATCTTCAACAATTTGCACATGAATAACAGAATCATATGCGTTCTTTTAATATGTTTAATAATTAAATTATAATAGCCTCGAACAATAAGTCTATAAATAATCCATTTCTTCAAAGACTTGACAATCGACCATAATATCGTTTTAAGAATACAGCTATAGTTCATTATCAAGCTGATAGTATCAATAAAAAAAGTGACCAAAAAATTCCATATAAACAACATCAATTTTTCAATAAACTTCTAAATTTTCGTCAAGCTAATCTTGTTATTGATAATACACATACAAGAATCATTCATCAAAAATTTCCCTTTTTTTCTTCCTATTACTAAAAAAAACTACAACAGCTCTTAATCATGTTGATCATGGGTTTTTTTTCTCAAATTTCATTATTAAAATTGATTACTACTGATTCAAAACATAAGAATTCATCGATTATTAAAAATAAGATTCAACCATTTCAAGCCCAATCGGTACTGGAAAAAAAGCAATTATGAAAAATACAAAACAAAATTTTCTTCAAGATTTTACAACAAAAGCAACTAATAATAATCCTCTTAAGTATCGACAACATGTTTTAGACGATTTTTTACAATGAACTAATAATTGAGAACATTTTATCAAAATAAGAACGGAAAAAAGAAAACCGTGACATCAAGAGAATAATAATTTATCAAAAATATTTAATAGCATGGTTTCCGTACGTGATGCATCTTTAAATCATGAAAATATTTTTAGTTTTATTTTTTGAATTATAATTAATAATTCTATTTTTTTCTTGTAATCATTTGAAAAATAAATCTTTGATTTTGGAAATGTATTATATTGAATAATGTTTATAACATAGATTCTCCTAAATACAGAGAATAAAAGAGCAAATATTTCTCTACAAAAACTAGTATACCAATCATTAGTTTCTTGCAAGTCCTTTGTCAATATTGACTATTTCTGGGGTAAGGAACACCGTGTTAATTTCGGTAAATTTCTCGATTTCTATAGAAAACAAACTTGTAAAGTAAGTTCGACCATTCCTGAATAATTGTTCTACAACTTTTGATTCTTATATCACTTTGTAAAAAATAATTTCGTCTTTAATTCTATACTGGAAAATTGGTATTATAACATATGCAATAAAGGAGACTATTGGTGCACAAAATGACAATTTTCTTCGTCCAAATTTAATGTTTCACGCATCTAAAAGTTCTAGAGAATTTTTCATTTTAACCTAATGTTTTCAAATTTCTTCAGCCTTCTTTAAGAGACAGAAAAGTCAATGAATATTTTGTCTAATTTAATTACTTTTCGATCGCTCGTTACTTTGATTCTTTTCTTTTTTTTAATTATCTATTTTCTTCAAATTAAAAAAAGAAATCAATCTATTCAAACCCAAATAAAGTTATGTTCATTTTTATATACAAAACATAACTTGAAATATTACAGAAAAACAACAACAGACAACAACAAAACAAAACAAAACAAAAACTAATTCCTTTGAGTATAATAAAAATATTTCAACTGCTACATATATACATAAATACAAAAGGAATGTAACTTAGACTAAAAAATATCTTAACAATCATATGATTATATATTATTTGCTGCTAGTTATTATGAGCGATAGATGTTCTTCTAATCATAAATTCACAATAAAATATCAATCCTTATAGTTATTTAAATTTAATTTAATATCTTCGTTGTCGTTTAGCATAGAATATTTCTTCATTTGTATATGAATGTTGTTGGTTATTATTTAAAAGATCATCAATACGTATTCTTAATTGATGATTATTGTGATGTAATTGATTTAATTCAATAGAACAATTTTTTAAATCAAGTCTACATCGATCATATTCATGTTTTAATAATGTCATATTATTAAGTGCTGTTTCATGTTGAACACGTAAATGTGCATAATCATGTTCATATATATTTAATTTTTCTTCCGTTAATTGTCGTTTTTTTCGTTCAAGTAATACTTCACGAATTAATGCTTGAACAACAGGTGGATGTTTTTCACCATTACTTATGATTTCATCAATTGACATAGTCAAAACTGGTGAAGGAACATAATGATATTGTCTATTTGATTGAACTAAATAATTAGAGAAATGAATTTTTTAATAATTTATTGAAAAATACTCACTTGAATGATAATGCCGTTCATTAGAATCAGCTCGTCTATCATAATCCTTTGATCGATCATTATTTCGATTTTGTTGAGAGTCACGTTTGTTCACTGGTGAACGTGAACATGATCGTGATCGATGACGTTTATGATGATGATGATGAAACATTATCTAGAAATAGAAAATAATCATTTATTGTCTTTTTATATATTCTCAACTCGAATAGATATGTTTCTTGTTTATTAAGAATTAAATATATAATAGATGAGTATGAATATATTCACTAAACATTACAGTTTTGCATAGAACTCTGACTTCGACGAAGGTGAAATGATTGAGAAAAATCCTTCTCGAAGTCTTCATAAATAAGTTTCAAAAAAAACAAAAAATTCACACCCGAGAAATATTCACATTAGCACATATCAAGAACAAAGCAATAAATATACTAGCTCAAAAAAATTTTCTGTATTATCAGAATTACTAAAATGATCTCGAATATCAAACAGTTATTATTTAGAAATTTTGCAAATAGATTTTTCGAATGATATTCATATAGGTTATTTCCGATTCTTATCATTGATCAGTTATTCCAAAGAATAAAGAATTTTCTGGAAAAATAATAATCGATCAATCTTTTCAAAATCTCAACTTGCCATTTTCTAGTAATGATTTTTTGATACTCAAAAAAAGAAAAAACTTTTCGAAGTTGGAATCCAATTTCGGAGTCAAACACAAGAATTCTCACATAGTGACCATTGACCTAAACTATTGGCTTCAAACTTTCATTCTCTTAATTTAACCTATTGTAGATATATTGAAAGACTATTTCTTCTTGTTTGCAAATATTATTGTTAGATAATTCAGACAAAAAAATCCGAATATTTTCTATTATTTTTATTCTATTTTTGGGTAAATAGAATTATTTTTTTCTATGTTGTAAGCGCTCTTTTTATTTAACTTCTAGTAAATTTAATTATCGTTTGTTATTGAAAATATGACATTAATTGGAAAATGCATGGTTTCATGTGAATGTATAGGCCTTTTCTTTGTCCATCATTGAAAAATAAACGTAATTGTAGAGAAAAAAAACTCTAATAGACAATGCATTAGATTCAAACATATCATTTTAAAAATAAATATAAAATTTAGATAATTAGAAAAAAATTCATCAAATCAAAATAAATTCTACGAACAATTAAGTAAATTATATTCTTGATCAAATCATTGGAAGAAATAAATCTCAAGTTTATAAAAAAAATTTTCATTGATTATTTCTGATTTTTCAAAATAATAAGACATAAAACACCATTGAGTATTTGATAGGCATGGTGTCTACTTATAAAAGTCACTACTTGCCTTCTAATACATTAGTAGGAAACCGAATCTCTCGAAATTTGAAAAGTCATTCTCTACAAAACCATAGTTCTCAAGTGCTGTCAAAATCAACTAACCATACAGAGTAGATCGTATTATAAAGACATAATACAGAGAAAAAAAAAAATAATCGAAACTCTCGAAAGTGCAATTGTCAATATTCTATTCTTACTCAAACTACAAATAGAAATGAATTTAGTAAAAGAAAGTACACGCATAAAATTTTTAAAAATATCTTTATAATTTAGGAAAGAACTTACAATAGAATGATGAGTAGACAACTAAAATAAATAAAAAAATGAACTCACAAATATAATTTTAAAATTTCATAAATAATTGTTATTTATGTTAGTAATAAAATTATGGCAAAATTATTGGAATTTAAATGTTCCACTAGAATATTAATATATATATATATATATATAAAACAAAATATAACCAATGGAATATTAAATTGATATTTAGTCATACAAAATAGAAAAAAAAAAAATTTCAATTGCAGTAGGAAAAACCCAAGTAACATTTGTCCAATAATCAAATTTGTATAGATGTCTCCAAATATTTTTTATAATCAAACATGGCACTGGCGGTTGCTAAGAAAACCAGGTTGAATAACAAGTAAAGCAAAATGGTAATAGCTTGTTTTGACTTATATTACGATAACTTTCCTCTCCCTAGATGTATGTAAAATGCACAGATTAAGAAACTTTTCAAGTTAAATTTTTTTTTCAGAATTTCGTAAAAAAAAATCACAACTTTTCACACAACCTTATAAAATAAAAATTACTATCTTATTTATTTCTATGCACAGAGAAATAAGATCTTGTTTGAAATCGATACTTTATAGTATATTCGATTGTTGACAAAGTGCAAATAATTGCCATAATATATAATTCTTTTTTTCTTAATGAACGAAAGAAAAAAGAAATAATGTGAACTTTTGAAATATTAAACTTTCGTTCTGACCCCCTGCTCCTTCTCCTGCTGGTCTCCCGTTTGTTCAAGTGAAAATGTTCTTTAATTAAAAAACCGATGGAATTTTTTTTTCTTTCCTTTTAGAAGTTGTCAATCATTTTTAATTGAGAGAGAATTTTTTTTTTTATGTGAACGAGTATTGTATCAAGTGTTCTTTTTCATATCAATCTTTTTTTTTTTTTTTTTTTTGTCAAATCAAAAAAATGAACAAACATTCTGGAGATGATGTAAGTGAAATATTTCCTTCTTTTTTTTTTATTTAAAAAAAAAAGAAAGAATTTATCAGTTTATAATCTTCAGGTTTCAAGAATCAGAGCCGATTATTTTCTCTTCCTTTATTCTTTCTGTCTGTGTCTCTCTCTCTCTTCGTTATGTTATTATTGCTCTATACTTGAATGGCTGCGTGCATCGAGAATAGAAGTGTATTGTTGCAACAGAAAAAAAATGAATGTACTGCCACCACTATAATAGTCACAACAACATAACAACAATGCGTATATTGATTCTGCAAGGCGATTTATTTTGTTTTTTTTTTCGCAATTTGTTTTTCTCTTCTTAATCGTATTTTTGAAGATCTTTTGTTCGTATAATGGCTTTCGGTATCAAATCTCCTATTTTTCTGTCCAAAGAATTTCAATCATAATCATTACCGAAAATAATTCCTTTTAAATCTACAAATTTATTTGATTAAAAATATTCATTTCCTGTCACACACACACACATACCACTGATAATAAAATATTCTAAAATCACATGGCGACAACAGGAGGACAACGACAAAGTAGAATTAGTTCAAGTGGATCAAGCGGTAGAGCATCATCATCATCATCATCAGAAGATGATGTACCATCAACAATACTTGGTAAATCAACAATGAATAAAGCCGTTGAATTATCATTAAAAGATACTGAAGATCCAATTGAGTTTCAAGCACCATTACCTGATTATTATGGTAAGAAAAAAATATATATTTTGTTTTGTTATTTATTTATTTATTAAAAGCAAAACAAAAAAAACTCTATAATCCTGTTTGTTTGCTTTCTTTTCTATAGAAGAAGCAGGTGAATCAGATGATGAACGACGAATATTACCGAGAGCTATTCAATCATCTGCATCAGGAATTATTGAAGATGAAAATGATAATCGAAAACACCATTTAACAAAGAAAAAACGAAAAAGGTTTAATAAAAATATTTAAAGAAAGAAAAATTATTTAATTTAAATATATTTTAATATTTTAAAGACTTTATTATATATGTGTATCCATGTGCAAATATGAATGTGTAAGACGAGCAGCAAAACGATTAAATTTTCGTGAAGTAGCTGATGAAGATGATTGGAATATTTATTGGACAGATACAAGTGTTGGAATTGAAAGAGTTGCACAAATGAAAAAATGGCAGGTTAGTATATAAAATATAATTTCTTTTTTTTTTGTTTTTTAAATATTTGATTTAAATAGAAAATAAATCATTTCCCGGGTATGAGTGAAATATGTCGAAAAGATTCTTTAACAAGAAATATGTGTCGTATGGCTAAAATGTTTCCAAAAGATTATGCATTTTATCCAAAAGCTTGGTGTCTTCCAGCTGAGTAAGAAATTTAATTTTATTATTTAGAAATTTTTTATCTTATTTTATTTTATTAATTTAAATAGTTATAGTGATTTTGCTAAATATTATACAGAAAAAAAATATAAAACATATATATCAAAACCAGATGTTGGCTGTCAAGGTCGTGGAATATTTATAACAAAAAATCCAGGAAGAGATATTAAACCGTAAGAAATTAAATTTAATTATTTAAAAATAACAATCTTATTTTTGTTTGATTTTCTTATTTAGAACTGATAATTTTGTTGTACAAGTATATGTTAATCGAGTATGAAAATCATTTTGTTGAATACATAGAGAAAATACGTTGTCTTCTTTTTTTTTTATTGTACTTTTTATTTTAGCCATTTTTAGTTGATGGATTTAAATTTGATTTACGTGTTTATGTAGCTGTTACATCATGTGATCCATTTCGAATATTTGTTTATAAAGATGGTCTTGCTCGTTTTACAACACAACAATATGAAGAACCATCACATTCAAATTGTGTATGAGAAAAAAAAAGAAAATTTTAACTTGAAATATTCAAATTCTGATTTTTATCAGACAAAATTTAGAATTCGACTAGAAATAAATTCATGCAATGCTATTGTATCTACCGTTAGGCAACATCTCATACCACAAGGTAGCTTAAAAATGCAGGAATATTTTCCCCTTCGCTTCCATAGTCTTAGCTTATTGCGATAATTTATTCATTTTTTTTTCTAAATCAAACTAACTATAGATAAAAGTTACAGGAGAAATATAACAAGTATAAAACATAATAAAAACCATTCAAAAAAAAAAACATAATTACTCATGGTAAACTAGAAAGAATGGCTGAGATCGGATTCAAAATAATTTTGATTATATGAATTTATTTCTAGTCGATATCTAATTTTCTTTCCAATCAAAATTAGTATTTCAATTTAGCTCAAAACATATACATATATATATATACTTTCATTTTCTTTCAGAAAGATATTTTTATGCATTTAACCAATTATGCTATTCAAAAACGTTCCGATGATTTTATCCGAGATGAAGATTTGGGTACAAAACGGTAATAGAAAAACAATCAAACGAAAAAAAAAAAAATTCTTTTTTTTGTTTAGTCGAATAACAACAATTAATCGATGGTTAGTCGAACATGGTTATGATATAGTGAAATTATGGGCGGATGTTGATGATGTTATTATAAAAGTTCTTATATCGGCACATTCAGTT